ATATATCTTGCCCAGAGACGGGGAAAAGCTGATTACAAATCTAGTGGACTTACAATACTAGACAATATTAAAGAAGAAAAAGATCTCAGCCCTGTCGAATACTGCGTACAGAACATGCTGGTTGTGAATTACTAGGATTACAGTTCTGGTAATATAGATACATTGGGTCGAATTCCTCTATTAGCATAGAATTGCTTAAGCAACTTGCTTGTGGAGATTCATATCAGGGAGGGAGTCGGCAGTTTCGTCATCTTTCAGTGGCAAATCATCCGAGTGCAGATTTAACTGTTTCAAGTTCTGGACGAATTGAGTAAACGAAGGGAAATGATCAGGAGAAAAGAAATAAGCTCCCATTCTTTGATACGTAAACAAGTCGACTGCATTTTCACCTAACAAGTTCTTTTTTATTTGTTTGATAGCTTTAGGACCACCTGAAACCAGAGAGTTTTGGCCCGAGACTTCGACTCCGTGCTTTCTGCAAGACGCTGTTATTTGAGCAAGCAATAATTCTGGGCTCGACCGGGATTCATTTGGCTGGTGATCATCCGATAGGTCCATTCTAGGAAGTATAATATTGCACGAATTTCTCGAGAAAGTTTCAGCAATTGCCTCATAACCGTCTCTATTTACTGTGTTATAGACTCCAGCAGTTAACTCTGAAGGGTGGGAACGGGTTCCATACCATGAATACGTCAGAGGGACTTTACCAGACAAAGAAACAGAGAAGTCCTTAAATGATTTCTAGAGGTAATAACACCACCATCCACAACCAGATTATGACCACTTACATATCTTGATTCATCACTTGCAAGATAAAGCGCAGCCTCTGCAATATCTTTAGCCTTCCTATCTTCAGTAACTCATCAAACGTGACATTTGGGAATTAAACACCCTTCCTATCTTCAGTAACTCATCAAACACACAACTTGTAACTTTCCCCACCAAAATCCTGTCTTTACAATATGATAATTCACTCCATTCCCCTGCAACTGATAGTCTACCATAAACCCATAATTCTCCCGAACACTCGTAAACTTCCCCAGCAATTCCAAATTCAAGTTTCATCTATTCAAACAAAGTCCACATTCAAACCTACGTATAAGCAAGTAAAATTTGTCAAACCTCAAGCGATCAATCCCAGGCCACTCTGGCCGAAGAGTCAAAACAAATTTATTAAAATACTACAGTGAAACCGGGGATTCAAGGATCAAGAAAAGGGATGTAAGTCTATTAACGGGGGATTCAAGGATTTCTTGCTTTTGAGAAGTCAACCATGATTGAAGGAGTTTCAGGGATTGGGATCTGAAAATTCCTAAAAATGTATTGTACCTTCAATTCCATATAATTTTCTCAACAAGGATCGTAAATTAAACATACCTTCTCGAGTCTATCACCTTCAAGATGGGTACCCTTGAGAGCTTTCTTCCCAGCTACAATGCAGTATCTCAAGCAATCATCGAGCTTCCTGTTGTTTTTTCCATCGATGTACCCTTGGGATTTGAATCCCCAAATCTGTCCACAGAATCGAGTGGGGAAGTTGGAGGCGTTTCCGACGATCTAGTGAGCAGGCGATGGTCGGAGGTTGTATAAGGAGATGAGGGGGTGCCGGTGGTGTGGGGATCCGGCAGCAATGGGTCGTCGATGTCGGGAAGGAAGAAGGAAGACATGGGATTGGAAGAAGAGTCTGAAGAGAAGGAAGCAAGTGTTTTGGTGTTTTCCGCGTTTTCCCTTTTTCTCCTATTTCCCACTGAAAACGTCCAAAACGTGGAAATCATCGTTTTGTGTTTTGTGTAGAAAAAAATTCTTCGTTTTCAAAAACGTGTTTTCAAAAATAGAAAAGAGAACGCGTTTTCACTGTTTTGAAAAATCGAAAACAGAAAACGGTCCAAAATGGCCAAAGAGAACAGCACCTTAGCAACTATCAGTTGCACGCAGCGGAGAGAAAAATATGTTTGACCTAGTAAATGTCGACTAAAATTTATAAAATTTTAACAAGGCCTATAACACTCATATAGGTACAATATAAAAATTTGGGGTCTTGACGATGATTTTTGAAGTATGAAAATGTTTTTCAACTATGCTGAATAGTATTTTCGAAACTGACCTGACGCAGTTTACTAAAGCTCACTATTTTTGAAACTTTTTCTCTAAGTAATATTTTAAGATAATTCTAAAGCTCACTATTAGAAAGCTCGTAAATCTTTCAAACCCCACTGATTTCACTTTAAAACACGCACCGTAGCTCAAATTATACAATTTTTAAGTAAGAGGACAAAATCTAAAAATTCAATTCAGTAAATCCAACATTACATTGACCAACAAAATAACAATATGCTGAACAAATTGTCTGACTAGGAATCAAATATTGAGGCTGTTATAGGTTCCCTTCAACAAGATGTTTCCGTCCATAGGAGCCATGTTTTGAAGCACGCCCTCAACATCTCAACAGCTTGAAGATGTTACCAAAAAAGGAAAAAAAAAACTAAAGAGAAAAAGATACAGTTTTCGCAACCATCAACAAATTATCTTTTCGAAGACTATTCTATGAACAGATACACAACAATAAGAGATTGGGTAACAAAGAATCCATCAGGGTAACCACTCTTATTCTATTTCATTAACTTAAATAATATTATTTTAATTTTATTTATTTGAAACTAAATGACATTATTTTATACAGCTCATATTGGGACGATGGATCTAACAATGTATACGGAAGAGACACGATAAAAACTATAATGGATACAGCACAAAATAATACTACTGCAGTTAGTAAAATTCATTCATCATTATACATTTAATTCTATATATAATATATTTAATTTACATCTACTTATTCTATTAGAACCTTGATCTGAAGTTAAAATTGTTGCGGCTGCTCATCAACGACGATTCTACACCTGTCTCAAAAGAATTTGCAATTGTAGACTTCAGGTATGAGAACGAGTGTACTAATCAAATGATGGTGCAAGTGGAAATCCGGGGAGGAAATGCCATTACAATTTCAGGAAATTTGGTCATTTTACAACAATACATAAATGGAGATTTACCAATTGCTAGTCGTTCGTGGATAAGATGCAAATTCCTATTAATTTCATGTTTATACCCAGACAATGCTTGGTATCTCTTTCTTGTAAATATCCAAATAGAAATTCCAGATCTACAACTCTAGTGACAACATGCACACGCTAGAACAAATCAATGCACATTCAAATGCAGTACTTGATTTAACACAAGCATTGTTGTTCTCTCCAGAACTTTCTACTTATAGACGCTATATAAGGAAAAATACAAAGAGATTAATGGAGATAGACATCATACCATATCAGCCTTCTGCAAATAATGAGTGAATATTTAAACTATTTACTGCTTACTATAATATTTTGCTCTCTATTTATTTTAAGTATACATTTACGATACTAAATTCATCTAAAATAAAACTATTTTTTTCGTAGGCTAAACTGTGGAATTTTTTTACTCAAATACATAGAATGTTTTGTTCTAGGATATCCAATATAATCAATTTATGTAGACAGGATGACTATATACAGACGAAATATTGCAGTTGATATTTGTTTCAATGAATACTTTCTGCGTCTTCGTTGATCCTGATACTACTGGATAATCATATTTGTAAAAAAAAATGTTGACATTTGATTCATACTTAACAACACAGCCGAAGGAATTCATATACTTACAAACACAGAGGTACATATAAATCAATTATCATTTACACTTACATACATGTTAAATGTTCACCTTTCGAACTAAATTTTCAATTATGAATTTTTATTCATTGTACCATTTAATGAAGTTCAATCTTAAGGAATAGCAAATTGTTATATGTTGATTATTATTTTTTGATAGTTCAACGATTTAAGATTTTACATTATCATCTATTAGTATTTGATTCAATTTGAGCCGGTAAAAATTGAAAATTTTAGTTGTGTATATTTGGATTTCTTCCAATTGAATTATTATTCGCAAAATTCTATTTTTATTTGCTTTGCTGTATTTATTTATGAATTGCGAAATAATTTTGGATTGATGATATGAAATAGGGAAGAAACTGACTCCGTAAGTAAAACAAGGGATTTCTTTAATAATTCATTAAGTGAAGGTCATAGACATACATTGTCCAAAGTAAATCGTAATGAAAATTTTTGTTCATTGACGCGAAAAGAGTTAATAGTCAATTAACGTTCCTTTTACACGTTTTACCCACAAGTTCAATCAGATGCATAAGGCTAGATCTCAATCCCTTCAATTCCCAACTTCTGTAGATAAAGCTTTATAAAACTACGTGCAATTCTGCCGTGTGATGGTAATGGTGCTATGATGTGGTTGTGTTAGAGCACGCTTCATTGCCTTTAGTTACAAATTTCTTGATTGAAAGAACCCACTGTGAAATATTGAAATACGGTTGAGAAGTTGCTATTGTCATAGAAGATGGTGATTGACAATCAGCATAGAGGATATTGAACTGGTGTAGGCTCCTTACCATTTCATATTCAAAGAAGACTTCCTTTTCTTTGTTTTTTCTCACATATATATTTACCACTTTGCCTTAACATTTATGATGCATCCAATAAAATAGGCATATTAACTTACCATAACCACGTGGGAAGTTAGCATAGATATGTGATCCACTAAAATCGTCAATTTAACGTCATATACATATGGTGAATCTTGGATAGACCAATATATTACTACAGCCAAAACCCTTAGGAACCAACCTCCTTAGGTTTTACCAAGGTTCTACAAAGATATGTAGTTCTACGTATACTTGAGAACAATTATCAAAAGTTAGAATGTTATACAAGGAAAAAGAGAGAATGAAAAATCTTACAACCTAAAAAGCAAAACATAAAAAGATGTCCCGGGTCCTACCATGTGCAGCTATTACCGATTCATCGTGCCTGCTATAAATATCAACAACAACTTTGCCACCACCTCCTCCTGCAAAACCGTCACCACCACAAGCACTTATTCTACCAATTCCAATCCTGCAATTTACCAAAAACAAGGAGAATTAAAATTGCATGTAATTTCTGATTGACGAGAGTATATAAAAACACAACTAATATTTTGCTTTGCCAATCGAAGATGATGAAGTAGAAAGAACACACGATTGATTCGAGGACAAAATGAAAAACAGAAAATAGAAAAACAATAGCTTGTATTTACACATGGATAAGTTCTCGAAAACAGAAAATAGAAAAGAACATTAAATATTAATACGATAAATATGCCAGGTGAACAAGAATAATCCACAAGAAAATTAATAGCTTCCAAAAAATTCTAACATTACTGTAATTAGACATGCTAACATTACCTAAAAAATAACTCAGATCACAGGCATAAAACTAGTATTTGTAGAAGATTTAAACTTTTGTGATGTAGATATTTTTGAAGTTTACATAATATGTGTTTAAGAACACGACTTAATTTCAAACTCTTCAATGCTCACTGGGGACCAAAGATCGAAATCTTTAAAGTTCAAGGCATTATATGTTATGTTCATATGTTATTTTTCTCGTGCACTTTTTACTTTTCATTTTTTTTCATGGACTTTTGGTCCTAAGAAAATTGTAACAATTAAATATAATTATGGATTTAAAAAACTGGGATGGATTTTTATGTTTGGAGTTCTAAGTGAATTTTAGTAAACTTAGAAGGAACAATACATAAATCAGGCCATTACTAAGCACCTGTTTGTCACCCATTATTTTGTGGGATAAAATAAAGGTGAATCAAAGTAGATAATCAAACCGAAGGCCCGTGTTTACACGGTTTCCTTAAATCGAATTCGCCGCCTCATCGGGGTGCACGAGGTTTTGATCGGTGTTCGATTCCCAGGATACAATCGGTTGTCGGTTCACGTTGCACTACGTTAACCGCCTAATTTATGTAGACAGGATGACTATATACAGACGAAATATTGCAGTTGATATTTGTTTCAATGAATACTTTCTGCGTCTTCGTTGATCCTGATACTACTGGATAATCATATTTGTAAAAAAAATGTTGACATTTGATTCATACTTAACAACACAGCCGAAGGAATTCATATACTTACAAACACAGAGGTACATATAAATCAATTATCATTTACACTTACATACATGTTAAATGTTCACCTTTTGAACTAAATTTTCAATTATGAATTTTTATTCATTGTACCATTTAATGAAGTTCAATCTTAAGGAATAGCAAATTGTTATATGTTGATTATTATTTTTTGATAGTTCAACGATTTAAGATTTTACATTATCATCTATTAGTATTTGATTCAATTTGAGCCGGTAAAAATTGAAAATTTTAGTTGTGTATATTTGGATTTCTTCCAATTGAATTATTATTCGCAAAATTCTGTTTTTATTTGCTTTGCTGTATTTATTTATGAATTGCGAAATAATTTTGGATTGATGATATGAAATAGGGAAGAAACTGACTCCGTAAGTAAAACAAGGGATTTCTTTAATAATTCATTAAGTGAAGGTCATAGACATACATTGTCCAAAGTAAATCGTAATGAAAATTTTTGTTCATTGACGCGAAAAGAGTTAATAGTCAATTAACGTTCCTTTTACACGTTTTACCCACAAGTTCAATCAGATGCATAAGGCTAGATCTCAATCCCTTCAATTCCCAACTTGACATCTAT